ATAATCGCTAAATTTTAGGGGATACGGGCGGAAGTCTTACCTAAATTAAAACTGGAAGATGCCATTTTCATAAAATAATTATTTCGAATAAATTCATCCTTGAAGTTACATTTTGGGATGTTATTACAGTACTCACGTACCGTACCTGTATGAAGTCTGTGACAAGCACTAAACGATTCCGTCCTGCTGATGTATACAATTGGTCCCATGACACACTTCAAAGCCGATTAAAAATTTATGAAATGCAAATATTTCAGGTACTGAAGAATGATGAATATGTGTGAACTAAGAAAAGGCCACTAATAAGCGCAAACAGTCAAGCAGACAGCTCAGCACACATGCGCACGTGTTTACACCGGAAGTACGCTTTTGTTTGTATTGTCCGTTGTGATTGGCTAACATATTGGACTAGAAATGATACTAGCCAATGAAGCCTTATCTTACATCAGTCAGTCACGCAACTTCCTCATGCGCACGTGTTTCGTGTTATGCACAGAAAATGTCAACACGGGAGATTGTCACATTACAGATCGGTCACTATGCAAATTTTGTGGGCACACATTGGTGGAATATTCAGGTATATAAATGTGAATACGTATGTTAGCAGAGAAAAAAGAGGTGACTGTCACAGTGGTCTAATGTACGTGTACTCACTCACGGTGTAGCTGTGTTTGGAATGTTGACTCTTGGATATTACATTCCGGACGACTATTCGGTGCAGATGCACAGAATATATAAGCATGCTAATATCCATGTCACCCGTCTTCATAGTCTGATACCGATACTATGCATTATAATCATGTAGACAGCTATAAGGAGGCGTACCACTACAGGAATATAAACTTCTTGTTAACGTCGCTACGTCGATACGGGAAATTGTTATTCACCAACTTCTAGATTGTCAATTAAACAATATGTAGACAGCTCACCTATAACCATTTATTGTCTTACATACCGTAAAACGAGCTACATTTCTCACTGTGAATAGTTGCAAAATTGCTGATGACTTACTCACTCATCCTACCAGGGGTACTTTTTTGCACTGGGTGGGTGAATAGACATTTTTTTAACAGTGTAACACAATTTGTTGTGTACACTTGTCAGAGATATGTCAAGCCCCTTGAAATATGTCCATCTAAGCAGCTTATGCCCATGAGAATTGCGAACCTAAGCAAATTGTTAGTCGTTCATCTGCATCAGCCAATCCATCCCATCTACTGCCCAGCTGACTTTGCCACCTTCCCATTGTAGTCTCTGTTGGACACTGTGTAAACTGAAACACCCAGCCTCACTTACCGGTAGTTGTCCTGCAAGAAAAGACACACCTATTCTTTGTATGCTACTATGCCAGGGGTGTTACAACAGTCTCTTACCTAAGGATATACCACAAGCGCTACTTGTGCGACAAGGTAGGGCAGGACAGAAGCCCCAAAACTGTCTGGAGTCGATCTGCCAAAGATAGTTATCTTAGGTATTAAATGTTTGTTTTGGTTCACTGATAATAGGAAGAAAATATAACAAATGCATTTTCTGAACTCTGACACTAGAAAACATGTGAAAAATAGCCTTTATCTTGTAATATCTTCATTTTCAGTGGAGTCAACGCTTGTGTACAATAACCTCAGGCAACTCACAGGGCCCAAGGAAATTAACCATGATGTGCTCTCTTCAGGGAGGGACAAACATTGCATGTGGGATTGGATTTTGCAAACAGACTAGTATGTCCAACTTGAGGAGGTCTCACTCCTGAGTATCAATCACTTGCCCAATCACCACATACATCATTTGTAAGGGCGTTGGGGATAGCCTAGTGGTTAAAGCGTTGGCTCGTCAGCCAAAGACCCTCGGTTTGAATCCCAACATGAGCCACAATGTGTGAAGCCCATTTCTGTCCCCTCCCCGTGATGTTGCTGGAATATTTCTAAAAGCATCATGAAACCTCACTCACTCACCTCACTCACTCACTCACTCACTCACTCACTCTCACTCATCACTCACTCCTCACTCTCTCACTCTCACTCACTCACTCCACTCCTCACTCACTCACTCACTCACTCCTCACTCACTCCCACTCCTCCACCACTCCTCCACTCACTCCTCCACTCACTCACTCACTCACTCACTCCTCCACTCCTCCACTTCCCTCTCACTCCACTCACTCACTCACTCCTCTCCACTCACCTCACTCACTCACTCACTCACTCACTCCTCCACTCACTCACTCACTCCCACTCCTCCTCACTCACTCACTCCTCACTCCTCCTCACTCACTCCTCACTCACTCCTCACTCCTCACTCACTCACTCTCTCCTCACTCACTCACTGCCTCTCACTCACTCCCTCACTCACTCACTCACTCATGTAACCCTTGCTGTACTTCTCCCAATGTCTCAGCATGAGTTTATTAAATATGTAGTTTTTCCAAGCCTGAACTGTGATCTCTCTTGCTGCCTTAATACCTGTTTGATGTTTGTTCCAGGGGGAGGTGACATACACACCTCGTCTCATTGCTGTGGATCTGAAAGGGAGTCTGAATGCACTGAGAAGGGAGGGAATTCTGTATGAGAGCAGGCAAGGAGGGAGAAGTTAAGTGGTAAGTTGTATGTGTGTTTGTAGTCACAGAACTGATGAACTGTCAGTCTTAGTGGTTCTTTCACTTGTTTGAAAAATGCAAACGAAGTCTTTGATTTGGCAGCTCTGTTTTTCATTGAAGTGTGTCTTCATTTTCTCCGAGTTACCAGGATGGTGACTAGTGATGACGTGTCTTTCCTTCCATTATCATATTGTCTTGTAAGATTTGTGTATTATCATCATCACTTTGTTATGTGTACACTGCTTGCTGTTAACATGTTCAAATTGGATTTTTTGAGTTTGTTGGAACTACTGATTATGTTTTGCAAAAGTTTGAACAATGTGAGACAGATATGTTCGAATTGATGAGTGTTTTGAGCATGTTTTATCTAAACATGTAGTGTTGTGCGGAGAGAACAATAAACTGCCACTTTCTGATCATGCTTATACAGGAGAGTGATGTTTAAGCTTCATGAGTCCAGCCGTTCAGTTCAGAAGCCATAGAATAAAATTCCTGGAAGACTTGGATCGTGTGGAGGTAAGTTACCTAGTTCAATTGATCTTCACAGTTTATATCAGTTGAGCTGATTTCCCAGTTGAGGTGATTGATTTTGATGAGCCAATTACACTTTAAATGGTAAAACAAACTACCAGTACCATTTGTTTATTGCCTCTCTTCAACATTAAAGCTGAAACAAAACAACAGTGTGTGTGGTGTAAATCTTATGTGTTTCATTACATTGTTACAATACAATTGTTAAAGAAAGTGTTCAGACTGTTGAGCAGTGAAATATTACTAGCGCCAATACTCAAAGCGATCAGTGTATTAAGGGCCAGGTCAGAGTCTGGTTACTTTGATGAGCGTAGGGAACCTTTAAAGTATTTTTTAACATTGTATTTCATGTTGTTGGCAACTGTGGATGACTTATTTGTATATAGGTGTTTAAAAGATAGACATTCAATGTTTTGTTTCAGGCTGAGCAGATGTCAGATGTCCATCCAAATCTAGAGGAGGAACTTGATAACCCCTCGACATAAGAAACCAAAAACTTGAGTACGATTACTTTTAGTTTGCAATTCCTTTGATTCAGAAACATAGAATCAACATACGATGGCACGATGGGGGCTGTTTGGACTGTTTTGTCTTAGTTTATGGTTTATGGAGATGCGATGGGGTAGCTTGGTAGGTCAAATGTTTCTTTGTCACACCCAAGACCCTTGTCAGATTTCCCTTAAGGGTTTTGTACATGTAGCCCACTTCTGGTGTCCCACCATGACTTGCTGGAATATAGCTGAAGTGAGGTAAAACCATATTCCCTCCCGTTAAGACGATGACAAGATTGAAGTGCCTGTAGATAAGTGTAATGCTTTCAGAAGGGCAGGTGTGCTGTATGCTATGGTGTGACCTGCATGTCAGTTTCTGGCTATCCCCCGAACCGTGGGGAACTGTTAGGACTGGTCACATCAACCCGTGGTTGATGAGTCGGCCATATTGGTTTGCGTGGTCCAGTATTTACAGGCTGCCTTCACATACAACTGGAATATGGCTGAATGATGCATTAGACAGCAATGAAACAAATCCATGTTACTACCACCCATTTGTATTTATCTGTAACCATATAAACTGCATTCATAACAAGATTTGTAAGGCTGATGTTCATGCGTTTAAACCATGTTACGACAGAGAAGTCAGAGACTGAAGATGCCGTGTTTGGTCGTAAACTATACAATCTGGACAACAATGTGTCCGTGTGGTCTGACTTCCTCCGCGTCCACCTTCATCCCAAGTCCCTGCACATAGTGGATGACTTCATACACAAGAAGTGAGTTGGTTACTAGTCCAGTCAATTTCTGTGAATACCAACTACAAATTGCAACAGAAATGATTTCAACTGTTTTAAGACCCTGAACCATTCCTTTATACATATAAAGAGTCAGTGGTGGAACAAGGTCAAATTCGACCCTCAAGGTCATAGGGGTCATCTTTGCTTTCGAAATCTTAGATGGAAATGCAAACTTTATTTATAATCTACTCAATTGTGCCTTGTTATACAGTGGAAACCGCCTAAGTAAAGACCACTTAACTAAACAGACCTGATAAGTAAACACTTTTCTTTGGTCCCGGCAAATTTCTTCATTAATTATCACTATTAGAGTCTGGTTAACTAAACTCGGATAAGTCTTAAACAATACCAGCTTAATCCAAAGCGCCTTCTCCCACGTCCCTGGAAGCAATTACTTATCAAAGATACCGGATAACTAAATTAGCAATCACCACATAATCCCATTAATATGAGGATGCGTGTCAGTCTCCAGAAGCTAAACAAACATCCTACTTCGCTGCCGCTGGTCATGCAGCTGACAACACACTGAATGTAAGGTCAGCCCTGGATAAGTTGTTCATTGTTAAGATACATATGTATACATATACATGCATATGGTTGTCATTTGCATGTTTTTATAAGTTTGGATAAGTAAAATACCCGGACAAGTAAAACAATTTCATTTAGTCCTTGAAAGTTTATCATTTATCAGGTTTTCCACCGTATATGATTTTTCCTAGACTTTTGCCCATATATAATATAAAGGAACGGTTCGGGGTCTTAAAACCATTGAAATCACTATGTTTGCAATTCCAGGTGGGTTAGGTCAGAATCTTACCAGGATGACTGGACTATATACTCTCATTTGGAGCTCTCAGGATGGTGTAATACCCTGCCAAATAGAGCTCCTCTTGTACTGATTACTTTGATACCTGTCGTTGCATATTCACCTTTCAGTACTATTTACTCCTGGATTCTATTTGTTCATTGCCATCGATAATCAGTTAACTACCTGTCATCTACAGTCTTCTCTTGTTAAGTGCCCACATTTGTTATTTTGTCTCCCCCCGAAGGGTCGGGAGACATATTGTATTTGGTTGAGTTTCCGTTGGCCTCAGCCTCGGTGTCGGTGTCAGCGTTCCCATTGTTTCCGGAACATAACTCTAAACTACTCTGAAACAATCTTCACCAAATTTGGTATACTGCCTCTCCATATCATGCGGAGATGCTTTAGATTGTGGAGTGTTTTCTCAATTCTCTTGTTTATCTTGGCAATAATTTGGATCGCTGTCTTTTTGAAGAGCAAAAGTTCAAGCTCGAGTATATATAATTCTGAACTAATTGGATCCATCTTCACCAAATTTGCTAAACCGCCCTCCATATCCTGTAGATGTGTGCTTTTGGGGGGTTTGAGTAGTTTGTTTTATTTTTAAATTTTATTTTTTGTGTTTTTCATGGCAACAATTTGACGCTGTCTTTTGCTGGTGTTGCGCTTCGGAGCATACAATTTGAGACTAATTGTATGCTGCAAATCACCTATACTGCCTCTCCATATCATAGAAGTGTTACCTTTGAGGTTTGAGATTTTCTTTCAACTTTATTTTATATGCTTTTCATACCTTGAAATTGAAGGAATCAAATGAATTGCTTTGAGGTTGTAGATTGGGGAAGACGTGGCGTCTGTTTTGCAATGGTGCAAAACACTTTCAGTCTTTGTTTTGTTTTCACACATTTACTTGTATAGCTGTCTAGCTTCATGGGGGTGGTGGCAGCCTATGGCCAAGTTTTCGCTCAAGTCATGCATGGGCAAGTACAGTGTGCCTGACCCATTTTCGGTGTCCCCGCTGTGATGTTGCTGGAATACTAAAAGCCGCATAAACCAAACTCAGTCAGTCAGTCAGTTCATCATAGTAGTGCAAGTAAAATTTCCAAATCATCTTCAATCAACCATAGCTTTCATTCAGCTGATAAAGGAGTAAGAATGTATTGTTCCTCGCATTTTCCCCTATTATGTGTATCGCACGTGGCCATTTCAGAGCTTTCTTGTGTTGTATTGGTTGATGTGTGTAAAGAGTAAGCTTGCACAAAGATGCCTGCTGGGATAGTGCAGCTTTGGCACAGTATATTAGATTAATGGAGTCATGCGGTAGTACGTGGTTAAGGTTCCATTGGTGGATATGTTTAACATGGCTGTTATTATTGGTACCAATGATCTTAGACCCGATATATTTGTTAATTGCTTGACATGAAGAAACAACCCGAGGGTCTGTCTTCCAGTGAGGACCAGACGTGGGACATGTTCCAGCTTAGTAGCGCCTAGTGTTTTGTGAAGAATGTTGATGCCATGGATGCCGCGGAGGACCAGATTCGCTTCTTTGTGGAGGAAGTGTGAATTCTCCACCTGCAGGTACACTAGCGTGGAGTGCAGTTTGTTGGCGTGACTACCACAGAACTATGGGTGGTGGTGTAGCACAATGGTTAAAAGCTGCTCGTATTGCTGTCCCACTGAAGGCCTGGGTTCGACTCCTTAACATGGGTACAATGTGTGAAACCGCTTTCTGGTTGCCCCACGGTAATATTGCTGGAATATTGCTAAAAGCGGCATAAAACCATACTCACTCACCCAAGGAACATTAGGGATTGTACCCCTAGATGAACTCTTGCGCTGGATCTGTGTCCATTTTGTGATGGTAAATTCCACATTATGTCTGTCACTTCATGTAAGTAAGATTATTATTTACGCTTGATATGTTTTATCTGTTCATTGCATTCAAACCCGTGGAAGATCCAGGTTAGAATTGGTCTTTAGTAACCTATGCTTGTCGTGAAGAGTAGAGTAACGCAGATCGGGTGGGCAGGCTCGCTGACTTGGTTGACACATGTCATCGTGATCCCAACTGCGTATAGATCGATGCTCATACTGTTGATCACTTCTGCATTGTCAGGTCCAGGATTGATTATTTACAGACCGCTGCCATATTGCTGTAATATGGATGAGTTCAGCGTAACACCAAACTCATCAATCATTGCATTCAATCTGGCTTTCAATATCCCAGCCATTTTATTTATTCTCTACCTAATCTGACACAAGTATTTTGTGATGTTCACTTTGTGTTGTTCCTCACGTTGTTTTCCCTCTATCTCTTGTTCACGGGAATGTTGAGGGGGGTCACCTTGTTACCATGGCAACCTATAGTATCCTGATTGTGGTTGTGTCTGCAGGGTTCCACATGCTGCTGGACTGGTGTGATGGGTTGGGATATGGGGCTAGCCTCCTCCAGTACCTGGAGGGAGAAATGCACAAACAAGGCTCGGATGACATGTGCGTGTCTCCTGCTGTCATGCCTGATTCTGTGAGTTTGCCAATAGACATCATTATACCAGTAAAAACATTGTGAATTTCTGTCTTCTGTGTGATTCCTGGTTTAATTAGGGTTCTTTTATTGCTAACAATGCTATCAGGGCCACCGTAAGAAAACAAGGAATGGTAAGAGCCCTTCCTGACGAATAAGATACTCAAAAGTTTGGAAATGAGGATTAGACTTTTTACATTTGAACACTTGCATGTTTGGAGCTATATGTACATGAATAGGATGTGCTCCATTTTGCCAAATGGCTGATTCAGCCAAGAGGCTTGCTACTATTGCTCATCTTGACTCAACACATGCTCTTCGGAGATGCAATTACAGGTGCCAAATTCATCTGATCATAGATTAGACTTTAACATTCACGGGACGGTGGGGTAGCCTAGTGGTTAAGGTTTCGCTCATCATGCGAAGACCGGGTTCGATTCCCCCCTCATTGGCACAATGTGCAGAAGCCCATTTCTGGGTGTCCCCGCCCTTATATTGCTGGAATATTGCTAAAAGCAGCGTAAAACCATACTCACTCCCTCACTTTAACATTCACAGTTTGCCAAAATGTTCTCCTGTCTGGTTTGGCCTTCCTAAACATGATCCAGATAGTCTCACTGGGTACATACCATTCATATTTATAGTAACAGGTTCTTTGTTATGCGTGTCCTGTAGCATTAGTTTGGTGCAATATTAGAACTTTACAGAGGTATCCTTGGCATCTGAGCAACAAACCCTTTTTTAGATTGAAACATTTAGATATCTTAGAAAAGTAAAATATTCTCCACATGCAGACCAAGGGTCACCTCAACCTGAAAACCGTCAGACATGGAAACAAACAGGCAGAAAGTCAGTGTGTCCTAACACTGGATGCAGTAATCCTTTACTATAGCCCAAACGTATTTATGTTGAGGTGGCCAGACAAGAAAAAACAGAATTAAAGATTTGTAATTAGATTTTCCATAAAGAGTGAAATATGAATGAAATGATTTTTAGCAAACAGAGATCTGTTTCAGACTGTTAAGCCAAGCGTGCCAATCGAATCATCAACAGCATTCTGTCTAGACAAGGGGAGGTAACTTTAGCTCTCTGTTTGTCCCATGTCTCTGGCGGCTCTCTGTGGAAGATGGGGCCATCTCGAGACTTTTCCCCATCTCAGCTACAAGGTAGGAGGCTGTAGGGCAGAAGATGGATCTACAAGTACAACATCATTTGTAGAAATTATATAGTACATAATATGTTTTTCAGTATGAGTGGTTTATAATACAATTAACATGGAAGTGTTGTCATGGTATCCTCCATGTTATGTTATAAGCTAACAGGAGAATGGCCCTTTGGGGAGTTTAGGTCATAGTAGGATACTCCAGGTTTGTCTCCATGGTAGCAGTTCAGGTCCTGTCCCGAATCCTCACCACCAAGGTGATTGTAACTCACATACTCTGTGATTGCCATAGGACACAATAGCTTGTGGAATGGGACCCAGGTATGTGAGTTTGGGAACCTATCTTGCCTTACTTATGTCTCACTGTAGATTAAAGTAAGTCCACACCATACATACTTACTGAGAGGATTTCACGGGACAAGAATTCCTGCGCCCTATACAGAGAAATTGAGCATGGTTGAACAAAATTTATTAGTCCCATAGGGATGCAGAAAGAATCAAATACTTTTTGTAGAAAAATTCCAATCAAGTAATAATAGGTTATCTCTGGAGTTTGCTACTAGCGGTTATGGTATCATTTGCATTTTAATCACTGTATGGCTGTGTAATTGATCATGATACACAATACAATAACAGTTACTTGGAATTACAACAATATTACAACATAGTATTATTAGTAATACCCAAAGTGTCTAGGACCCCCATTTTTGCATTTCGAGGACTCCTGAAAATGTCATTTCCTCATTCATGAATCCACAGATGTTTGGAGACTGTTTGGGTGGCATGTTGTTTTTACGCCTTACATTGGCAGTGATCAGTGCTCATGTGGTGCGACTCACCTGTTTGATTCATCATTTATTTACAGTCTGCTGTGTTGTGGTTTGAAACTATACACTACATTCCACCATTTCTTATTGCTAATGCATGCTCATAAAGGAACGTTGGTTTAGTTTGGAAACTGTTGCATGTGCATGAATGAATAAAAGGAGGAAAGTTTGGCTTTCAATCTTTGTATGTGTTGGTTATTATGAGGTATTGGTACATTCCTTATTTTTCGCCATCCTGGCTCCTTGCTAGTAGCATCTCTTCTGGCGAATGACAGTGGAACACTTGATATCCCTGAAGTTCCCTACTTCAAAAGTGGACGATAAAATCATCACCCACCACTCGGCAGTCTCCCTTGCCCCTTTGGTAGCACTGGTCCACATGACCAGCCATGTTTTGTCACTCTCCTTCTTGGAGCCTTGAGAATGATTGTTAACCACTTGGATCCTATGGCACATATCCTTTTTCTATTTTGGACCTTTACATCTAAATGGCGGCTGTATGGTTTTAGGATTGTATATTATCAAATGTTTGATATTATGTGTCTAAATTATCGTTGTTTTGCCATGTTTTCATCTGGTTTCACAATTGATGAAACACTTTACCGTTCATGTAGGTACCGACTGTCCATCTTGTGGCTGACCATATATTATGTCCCTGATTGCACTGCTACATGTTCTTCCAGCCTGATCGTTGTAAACATTGTCAGAAACTAGTACTACCCAATAGTTAATAACTACCTTTTTATCTTCATAGGTGTTAGGACTGCGGTGAAGTGACTGCCAAGTCATGTCTGGTAAATGCAGTGATTAGCTGATAACCGTGTGTTAACTTCTGATGGTCGCACCAGTGATGTATTCCGGTGAATTGCAGAAGCGTTTTTCGGCGGCGAATGCGGCTGTTCAGTAGTGAACTCCATACCTGGAATAAGTAGAGATCGATGATCCAGCGGAGCTGTTGTATCATCGCGGGCGAAGAAGGCGAATCTTCTTCAGCGCCAGAGAAGAAGAAGTCTACAGCTCAGGGCACCCATTCGAAGTTTCTTGTATTCACAGGTTCTGCGCGAAGAGCGAAGATCATGCACCTGCCCGATGTTGGCCTTTCAGGGAAGAAGCGGGCGTGCGTGGTGGTCCCCATAAAATCTTGAAGTCTGAGTGGAGTGTTAACAGAAAAGCGAAGCCACCAGCAACAACTGCATAGGCAACCGTATCAGCGCGAGTATTGACGAAGACGCTTCTATCAGCGCGGGCTTATTCGAATTTACGAAGGTAACGTGTCGCTCTTTACCGGGTACAGGTGGCGAAGGCCTCCAGCGTTCTCGAAGCATCATCAACCCTGCGGCAATTAATAGACATCTTGAGCTGGCAGAACGTTTGTACGGTTTGCAGATCGATGATGGCCAGATGGATGGGGCGTTGGCGCGGGGAAAAGCTACGAAGACCACTATGATGACTACTAGCCGCAAAGCCAAGATTCAGCAGTCTCTCCAACGCGGAAGAAGAGGAAGCCTGCGTGAAAGCTCCGCGTCGATCAGTCTACCAAGTCGGAAGTTAGGAGCTGGACAATAATGCTACCCGGCGATCAGCTCGAACAAACGTCCCTGAAGGGCGTCTAAGAAATGCTCCGTAGAGGCGGATGGGCCGTTCGCCGAACTCTACAGGCGTCGTGAATACGAATGCGTCATCACCATCGGACTTAGACTTACATACGGGAACCTGCGTGCAGAGCACTCCACATCTCACAGAGGCGGTCGATCCGTAAGCGCTTGTGAAGGCCTGGGAGATATGTCCAAAGACTCGGAGATGCGGCTACATTGCCACCGGAACCGTTCACGCGCGCAGCGCGGCATCCAGAGACTCGCGACATCATGGATGCTCAGATGGGGCCATCGGTGAAACTGAAGATGGGTACTTCATCTCGTGGAGCTTCAAGATATCAAGGGGGCCAGTTAACGTTGCATTCGCCAGTTCCTCAGCGAAGAGATGGGATTCACGGTCAACTTTACAGAACAATAGGGTGACGAATACGGTAAAGATGCCAAAGTTGAAGAATACGGTCACTAAACAGGCAGAACAGTGTAGCTTACGGTCACATGGGGCGAGGGAACAGTCTGCGCGCATTGGTGCCTCTTGCCGAAGTTTTCCGTGGCTTCCGCTCGAATTATCTGAACCGCGTTCACTGTCGTCGCTCCGGGCTGGCCTAACAGGAGTTGCGGACGGTAGTGTGGGCGAGAGAAATCAGCGACTACTGCAAGATTCCTATGAGGATCAATTACCTGCAGCACACCGGTGGCGGTGATCCGTAATCTGATTGGGTCGCGGGAATAGACAACCCTCGCGGAACTTCGGTCAAAGATCGCGATGCCAGAAGTCGTCTGCGGTTGTACGCAGCTCTTTCAGCGTGGAAAGAGCTCATTTGCAGGTAAAGTTGGCAGAGATTTTGGCGTGGTTTGACTATCTTCACGGATCATATCTGAGGGACTTTTGGCAATGACAAGCGTGACGGTTTCTTCGACGGCAAACTCCACATCGATGGCAGTCCAAGTGCATCACCGATTGTTGCTTTGATCTAGAAATGGCGTAAGTAGCCGTAATCGCTGCACATTGTTGGGATTGCAGTGACAACATCTTCATTACATAATACGGAATGGTGAGACAAGCTTCTAGCCATGATTCAAGAATCAATCATCTCTCAGCTTCCATGGCGGACGCGGCGAAGCTGTTGAATCCACGTACCTACAATAAAGTAGGACATGATTTGAGTAGATGGCTGAAAAAATGCCAATCCCTATTGGGTTGGAGTTAAGCAAGGTCTTCAATTTCGCAGAATATGGCTCATCCTACGACAGAGTCTAGGATTAGTCCCAGAGGATGGTGAGATTCGAAGACCTGTCTCGCGATAATCCTCGGCAAATATGCTCTCCATTGACCCCTCTCACGATGCCAATAAAAGCCTTGAATCTCACCTATCAGCTCAAGGCATGACTGCGCGAGGAGTGCAACTCGCCCACTACAATGTTGGTGAACACCCATCTTTCAGGTTTGGATCCACAAGTACTACTGGACAGCCTGGCTCCTGAACTCCCCTATGGTGGACTCCGAAGATCAAATGGTTGCCGGAGAACCTTTTGTCAAAATCGAGCTTTAGCAACACTCATCCTCTATGTGGATGCATCACTACAAAGGATAGGGTTAACTCACCCTACGACATCCAGTGGCAGCAGGAAAGTGGTGGTCGAGTCAGGATCAAGTTCTGCGCATCAACTTGTTGGGGTGAAAGCAGTGATCAGCAGCACAACACTGTTACATTACTAAACAAGCGCCAGGCTCATGAGTTGCACCGCGGACGACTCTGCTCAAACTCAGCTTTCTCCTGTTCAGCCATGTGTCGCGGGACCTGAACATCCCACATGAAGACATTCAGAAGCAAAAGAATGTCATAGCAGAGGCGCCCTATCTGCGTCCACTACAACCATCCCTAGCGGAATGGATGTTACATCAAAAGTGTTCTCTGTTGATCCGCCACAGACAGTAGGATCTCGCTGATAGACCTGTTTTGCAAAAGTTCAGCAAACAACTACCAGCAATTCATCTCACCGATTCGGATCCTCAGGCATGGTCAACAGATGCTTTAAGCATCTCATGGGAAGGGACTAACGCTTACGTGTTTCCACCTCCAACACTATTACCACAAGTAATACAGAAAATCGACAAGCGTTGCAACTGATTTAAGGTCCGCCCTATTGGCCAGCGGTATGGTTTCCGTCCTCATGCAAAGAACTTCCGGAAGTCCAACCTGAAACTACCAGGTGGTTGAACCTGCTCATCCATCCACATACCAGAAGCAAGCTCACGGGAATGGTGCATTGTTCCAGCTACATGCGTGGGCGTATCTTGCCTATGAAGACGAAGTGGGTACTCAGCCAGAGGCAGTGAAAGCAGTGACACTGGCTCTATGGCAGATTAACTTCGCCAGCTTAATACGACGACAAGTGGCGAGATTTTAGATAGTATGCAACAGAGGAAAACTTTACAGCATTAAAGGCAGCCATCCTCAATGTAGGCGGAATACTTAATGTCATTTTAAGGCAGGCAGAGAGACGCAAAAGGTTCAACACTCTCAATGTGTATCTGGCTGCTCTCCGGCACAGTTATCACTATGATGATAGGTGTCAGAAGCTGACCAAAGTACAGAGATACTGGCGCGATTCGCTCGTTCAAGTTGGAAGACCAACGAAAATTCAAGCCTCCTGTCTGGGATCTCAAGCGTGGTTCTACAACATCACCAGTGAGCAGCCCTCTGAGGCCTCTACGAGCGGACGTCCTTTGAACCCCTACTGACACGAAAGCGATGTTCGCGTTATTTGTAGCAACAGCTTGTGCATGTCAGAAATACATGCCGTATCTGGACTTTGAGCGAACACAATTTGAATCAAGACATCTGTAACATGGTACATCTAGGACTGAGATGGGACTTTATTACCAGAACCAACTGCCGGCCAGCCCTGACAGACAGTTCCACATCCCTGCACTCTCTACAGTCCTTGGGCAAAAGGATTCACAGGATTTATCACTAAAAGTCTACCCACAAAGGACAAAAACAAGGAGACAAAAATTCAAATGCCTATTCATCCCCCTTATCCACTGAGATGCCCACGGGAGTCTCACGGACAACGATATCGATATGGATGAGAGCTGTTATACTAAGGGCCTACAAAGCAGCAGGACTTGAGCCTCCACGAGCCTCCAATCCCCACGAAGTCAGAGCCCTGGCGTCTACACTTGCTCTGCATGGAAACTGCTCGATTACAACAATAATGGAGGGCTGCTTTTGGAAATCCGGACCACGGTGTTTGCCAACCACTACCTCAGAGACATTGCCACCGAGGATGTCTCAGGCATTCCTGAAGTTTGGACCGCTTGTTTGCAGTACAACAACTAATGGTTCCACAATGGCGGCTGAGAAATGCCCACCCTTTATCGCATTGACTTTGCGTGAAACCAATGCTCTGGAGAGCAAATGGTTAAAAGTCCTTGCATCGTCTAGGACAGACTAGCATGAGTGATAGACCCTGTACTTGTATAGGACTTACTCGTACATGAAGAAGGGTCGTATCTCCACTTGATGCATGCATCAAGAGATGGAGTTGCAATAGATAACTAATGGAACATTAGTATATTTAAAATCCACACGAAAATGTCAGAAGTTTCGGAAGAAATCTGACAAGTTGTGGTTCCCCCCCGACTCATCAGATGGAAGTTGGAAAAACAGAATCATCAACAGTGCCGTCATAAGTTCCCATGGGGGGTAATACAGGATGTAAAACAGCTGCCAGTGAATCCAGGAAGTGGCCTGAATTCTGCAAGCATTTAGCATGAGTTAGGATAAGGAAAAATATGTAATTTTCTGAGTAAAATTGATATTTTATACTTATCCTGACTCATAAGGTCAGCCCTCCCAACCTGTAAATCCGGGTGTCGGGCGTACAAATGGAGAGAGTGACAAACATAGCTGTCATGTGACCAAAAAGGGCGCCAAAGGAAGCAAGGGAGACTACTCATGGGTGAGTGATGATTTTACGTCTGCTTTTTAGAAGGGAACTTCAAGGGATTTCAAGTGTTCCACGATCATTTGCAAGATGAATCACGCATTTAGCATGAGTCAGGATAAGTATAAAATATCAATTTTAGTCAGAAAATATTACATATTTCTAATTTCATTGTCAGGGGGAACTAGACTACCACACCAGTGGCATCATGGCAGCTTGTCTGGATACACTGTCTCTCCCGTACAGGCGTGAGGGCTTCGCAACACAGCTGGCTGATATCACAGCATCATTCAACAATCTCGGGAGAAAGGTGCGTGTAAGCCAAGCATAAAAATCACAAAAAATATGCTAGTCTTAGATTGGATTTAAAGATATAGAAAGTCACAACAGTCTCTGAGACTCTGTGGGAAACTGTACCCAAGCCTTTGATCCTGCATATCATTTCAAATTAGTGTACAGACCATCAAAAATCAGTTTTAAATCTTACAAATTTTGTGTTCTATATTGTGTAGTTCTAGTTTCATGAGGAAAAGAAGCTTATGTTTTATAGGTGGAATATTCCTGACTGCAGCATTACACAGCAAGCAGACAAATGTATTCTCTAAATTGTGAGAAGAAAAACAGTTGAGATGGCTTATGTTTTGTCACGCGGAAGTGAGTTTGTTTCCCCATGTGGCGTGAGTGTCTAAGCATCGGCCCTTGTTTACTTCAGGTTGCAGCTGTCTACTCCAGCCTCCCCTTCCCTCTCACACCCCAGGGGACATTTGTTGAGAGTCTGATGTCCCACAAAGACCACCCACCCTGGTATTCCCTCACCCCCCATGTAGGCACCTGTCTTGACCCCTACATGCAGTCCTGTGTGGTCAGGGGTGTACCAGACCACAAGATAACCAGGTGAGGAACTCCGGTTACACACATCTATTTAACATGCATTAAACATGCATTCAAGTGAGTGAGTTTAGTTTTAAGCTGCTTTTAGCAATATTTCAGCAATATCATGGAGAGGGGGACACCACAAGTGAGCTTCACACATTGTACCGATTTGGGGAATAAAAACCGGGTGTCTGGAGTGATGAGCGAACGCTTTAACCACTAGGCTACCCCACCACCCCTCATGTATTCAAAGGGTATTACATGCTAAGGAGAGTTTAGTTAAGAAGGAGGGTTTACATTTTAAACTCAAAGGAAAGTGTTTCATCTATCATAAATACTGAAAGACAAATCTGAGCCGACATTTATCAACAATTTTGTACTTTTTGGTTCAATAGGTTCCAAGCATCTCATTTACTACATCAGAACTTCCATGGATAATCAGGAATTTGTTGTGTTTGGGTGCTTGCTTCTGCAGCTGGTGTCTGAGATCTGCATCACTTTTGACTTTCCTTAACATGTTGAGCAGATCGGTGCTCATGCTGTTGATCACTGGATTGTCTGGTCCAGACTCGCCTATTTACAGACCACCGCCATATTGCTGCGTGCGGCGTAAAACTAAACTCACTCACTCACTTAACATGTTGGGATATTACTGGAATGCTCTTCACAAATGGCGGGGCCGGTGGGGAAGCCTAGTGGTTAAAGCGTTTGCTCATCATGCCGAAGACCCGGGTTCGATTCCCCGCATTGATACAATGTGTGAAGCCAATTTCTGGTGTCACCCCCGTGACATTGCTGGAATATTGCTAAAAGCGTTGTAAAACTAAACTCACTCACTCACTCCCAAATGGCTTTAATCCCATGATAGTCACCCTGAAGCTGGAAACTGAGCTGTATTCCGGTGATTCTTTCTGAGGCTGGAAACCAGTTAGGTTGTGTTTGCTACTGAAACCGTTCTGTTAGGATGGTGGATTCTGAAGTCTGACTGTCTTGGACATTTGTTTTTGAAACTAGAAACAGTTCAAGTTTTGTTATGGAGGTTGTTCATCTCAGTGCAATAATGCACATGGTTTGCATGATCCTTGTGAAATATATGTGCACAGGGCTATGGATTTTTAGTGGGCAAATCCTCTAACTGCTTGTTTTGGAAACCATGCCAGCAAGCAGACCAGTCAGTTAAACACCCGAGGCCATCTTCTGGCATATCATTTAGGTGCTTGCTTGTTTAGTGCAGTGGTCACATGTGGTGGATCAATAGTGGTCACATGTGGTGGATCAGTAGTGGTCACATGTGGTGGATCAATAGTGGTCACATGTGGTGGATCAATAGTGGTCACATGTGGTGGATCAATAGTGGTCACGTGTGGTGGATCAATAGTGGTCACGTGTGGTGGATCAGTAGTGGTCACATGTGGTGGATCAATAGTGGTCACATGTGGTGGATCAATAGTGGTCACATGTGGTGGATCAGTAGTGGTCACATGTGGTGGATCAGTAGTGGTCACATGTGGTGGATCAATAGTGGTCACATGTGGTGGATCAGTAGTTGTCACAGGATTCATGACATCATCATAAGACTCGATACTGTGGTCTTTGGATCTACACAACAAAGATCTTCAAACACGTTCAATACCTCTATGGTGGTGGCGGATCAATATGGCTCGCTAAGTTTGTACTGTTTACCTTACTGGTTAAAGCCTTTGGCCTGCGGTGCTAGTCACGCCGAAGACCACGTGGTTGGATCGAATCCACAACATGGGTCAGTACAATGTGTGAAATAGCCATTTTCTGGGTGTCCCCATTATGTGGTGATCAATGGCCAAGATGTTGCTGGAATATTGCTAAAAGCGGCATAAAACCAAACTCAGTCAGTCAGTCAGTCAGTTTACCTTACTACACCACTAATCTCTGTGTCAGGTGTAATTTGTCAGGCATTTGTGGGCTTGACATCATCTAACTGTGAGTAGCTCAAGATGATGTTCAGGGGTTCCAATAACGTTTTACAACAGTATGTCATTATTTTATACGACACTAGCAGCAGAGTGGCCTATGGTTTTATCCTGGTTACACTTTCCCTGCATTCACCATATGAAACTGTGTACCTCTTTGAGTGTATAGTATAGTTTACAACATAAAGCAGTGAGCGATAAATATATTGGGATCCCATGATAGTTTGGGTGACATGCATGGTTTCTTAAACAGACAAAAAAAACACCAGAAAAATAATAATGCCCTGCCCTCTCACAGACTAGTGCGTCTTGATTGGCAGCTGATGGACTGGGTTGGAATGTTTTGTATTATCGCGCCCAACAATGTTTAGGATTTCATACTCTTGTCTGCCATCGTTTATGTTATTGATTAATGAAGCATCCAGTGACAGGCATTTTCAACACAACTTCAATCCCTGTTTTGAGTTTCCACAGGATTTATACAGTGCGCATACGGTTGTGTTTGGTATTTATCTCTGTAAACACAAACAAACTCTTAACTCAATGAATATGCTGTTTGTATCCACAAGAGATCATATTTTTATAAAGTAAACTTATCCTGACTCCTATTTATTGCTTATCTCCCTTTCCATACGAAGGTTAAGTGGAAACCTCTGTCCTAATGTTCCCAAGAACAGTCAAAACTTTACTCACCCCAATAGGGCCCCTTGCCGCTTCCTGCCACTGCATCCCAGGTGACCGCGGCCATATTGTCACTCTCTCCTCCATTGCCCACCTAGACGGTTGGGCTGGCACCTCGTGTCCCTTCTACGGCCTTATACTCAATAAGGGCTCAAATTTTTGTTGTAGTTGGTCCTTCATAGCCTTTGGCAATCATAACATTGTATTTGTAGTGAAATTAGGTGAGGATAACTCTCAGGAGAATCTCGACTCATCAATTTAGACGGAATTAGTGTCGCTGAAGTAACTATATCGTCAGGGCCAGCCTACGCCTCAGTTTAAGCCACCAGAAGTGGATGGGAAATTACTCACTGTTGAGTAACTCAAGTCTCAAACTTACAGAATGAAACACCAGCTAGACACTATATGTGTTGTCTAAGGACATTATTGGAACCCACAATGGAGAGAGAACGTATGCTCTTATCAGTGGGATCACTTAGCATCGCCCTAAGCGGGACTCACTTTAAGGCGTCAACAAGATCTACTATCCTCGTGCCTTTGACCGACCTCTACATTAAGCCACTTTTACGCAACCATGGGCTGCTCCCATCATATTTGATTGCTCTTCATATCATACATCAAGGAGGTCTCACAGGATTTTGAGGACCCGTAAGTCAGTAAGACTATGAACTCTATGAAAAAACGATCCATCAAAGACTTTACACCTGGAGCAACCCTTATTCAAATGGTTTTGGAGGATTATGTAAGCGGCGTAATTCTTACGCACACTTTTACTCAACCAGCTATTGCACCATATTTCATGGGGGCCCACCTGTTACAACACCGCTGACGTCACATGCATGGGAGCTCATTGGTTTAGGACAGAAGCCAATGCCCTGCGCAGGCCTGATTTGCATATCATGTGTCAGCAAGCTCACTGGGTTGTAAATAAACCAGTTCTAGGAGGAATCACTTCAACTACAGCCTGAAAACAGCAAACGCCTCTTCATTCTGTTGTCCTCAACATCCACCCCACATCTCGCACCACATTATCCTTCTGGATGAGAGCCACCATCCTATGGGCTTACACCTTCGCTGGGTTACCGCCCCTGACAGCTTTCAATCCACATGAGACACAGGCGTTAGCATCTACGATGGCTTTGCATAGTAACTGCTCTCTCCACGCCATTATGGAAGGATGTTTCTGGCAATCTGACTCGGTCTTCTCCTCCTACTACCTTCAGGGGATGCTCCATCTCTCAGTCAGGGCGTTAATGCGGCCTGTACCAGTTCCCAGACCCTTGTTTTATACTGGCAAGACGGAGATACTACCACCTGCGGTGGTTGGACAAATCTGGAGCAATCTGGAGCGATTCTGTATCCCGATGTGGAAGGGTTAGACATTTCACGTTTTCTGACCTCTACTTTTCGAAGCAATTACGAGGCTTGAAAATTGTGGCGAAGTGACATCCTTTCTCGCTGAGCTGCATCCTTCCCCGGAGGTTGCGGACGAACACCACATCGCTCGGGAGCACCCATCTCTCTGGGAGACGTTGTGTAGCTTAGTAAGCCAAGGAGTTCAGAGGAACTTCGTCACAGGCATAGGAGTTGGCGCTGTCAGTAACAGGCCTCCCTTGTGCATCGTTATCTACGGTTGTTTCCAGTCTACACAGTTCTACTGTTCGCACTGACAAGACACAGGGTATCTGCGTCCCGCCGTCTGACCGTGGGATAAGTGCATACCGTGAGATAGGATAAGTTTAAAAATTTGGAAATTTTAAATATAAATTGTATATTTATATACTTATCCTATCTCACACGACGGATTCCCGCTCATCATCCCCGCTACGCAGATTCTCCAACCTTGTTTTTTAAGTGGCTCCAAGAATGAGAATGATAATTCGGAGATAGTCAAGTGGGTAGCTAGTGGTGCATGCCGCATGCTTTGCATGACAACTAGGAAGCTGTCTTATAATGAGGGTAGCATGGAGTGCTTGGGCAGATGGACAAGAGAGGCCAAGGGAAAAAAGTTTCCATCATTCCACTCAGTGTCGAATCAAGCGAGAGAAGTGCATTCCGTGAGATAGGATAAGTATATAAATATACAATTTATATTTAAAATTTCCAATTTTATCATAAAAATTACATTTATGTATGTTTGTATTTAGATCTCAGCCGACACCTGACATCCCCAGAATACTGACAGGCTGTTCCTCTCTCGCTGAGGTTCTCCACCTTTATCTGTCAGAGACATATCCACAGTCCCTGAAGTAAGTCACTCACAGTTGTCTGAAGGTTTCCCCTGTGTCTTCGACTTATAACATGCCTCTGATTATAACTTCTCTCAAGAAGTTAATGGTTGATATTTATACTTCTTTTTCAAACATGATCATTAGGATGTGTTATAAAATGAGAATATCTGTTAAGAGAAAATATACGTGTTAACATCGATGTGCATACACATTAATTTCTTATGTTGTTCAACAGTTTTATTCACAATACAACATATTTTCTCTCCCGTTAACATCTGTTTTTATACATATTCTGAAACATTTTTTTTCATGTGCAATATTGTTTGTAAACGTCTTTTAACTTCCAAAGTGTTTTCGTGTTCAATTGCACATTTGGTTAAATGATTTGAGGCTGTATCATGTTTAGTTTCGAATGATTGCTGCTTTGACTAGTATGAACCATAACCTATCCTCTTTAAATGATAAAAATATTATAGTGAATAGAACTTTGATGGAATGCATTTAGCAGTGTTATGCCTTTTTTGATAGTTCATATTCATATCAAACCATTCTTATTGTTCCTAATAAATATAATCTTTTTGAGATAAACCTTTTGGAGATAAACCAAATAAGTTTGTATATATGATACAATGATGACAATTGTTTGTATACCAATGATGAAACGGATGCAGATATATATGTTTCTCCTATTTCAGTGCTGGCTGTACAATGCGAGATGCTTGTAAAGTTGTCTCCCCTTACCCACATGTTTTCTCCAGCAACGTGACCAGCAGTGGCTACATTTGTGATACAGACAGGCCATCATACCAAGGTAGCTACTTAAGTTGTCTCCCCTATTATATAGTGTAGGTTTCACTAGTTAACGGGTGTGTATACCATCCACACTGTCATAAGTCTTGATATCTTGCAGGCATGCAAGCCTTAGTACTTGATGATGATCTTTAGCACTTATACTTTCAATCAGTTTTATCTGACACCTCTCTATTTTCTATTTCATAGCAATAGCTTGACATCAAACGGTTGAAGCAGAATGATTTTTGCAGAGAAATTGTGGCTCTGCCTTACCTGGCACTATACCTTAGCTTCCCTTAATAGACTGTACTGGAATGGAATGATATTTGAAACAGATTTAAGTCTGTGCCAGATATGAGTTTTTCATGACCTTTTTTCACCAACCTGCAGTGTTGCCAGATTGCCTGCCCCTTAATAATTCATACCACAGTGATGATGAAAGGAATTTTGTGCCCTTTTTTCACCAACCTGCAGTGTTGCCAGATTGCCTGCCCCATTAATCCTCTCAATGCTACTGTCGAACCCGTTCGACAGGGGAGCAGCAAAATGACATCCCCAAATTAAACTTGCAATAATTATTTAACAAGTCGGATTTACATGTCATTTGAATTATGTTTGGAAAGCATTAATTCTCAGCTGTCTAAACATCTTCAATTAGTTTATGTACCTTAAAATGAAACGCCCACGAATTAAAATTTCTCGGCACACAGCCGCAAATAACGGCCATTGTGGACTTCAGGCACATCACGTCGAGTGGTACCCAGTCTAATATTTTCTTCATGACGAAATATTTTTTTATAATTTCATCAATATTTTTGTTCTTAGGTAAAGAGAAAACACTGAAGTTTCCCATTTTCTAAAAATTAGTAACTTTCGGTTTAATTATTTATAAACAAAAACAATCTAAATGTCAGATCGCCGATTGGATGAATGGGAACGATCATGGCAATGGTGGTAAACAAACAACTCCACATGCATCGTGATACCGAAACAATTGTGCCATCCTTTTGATAGATCCAACTATTTTCGTTGGAATTAATTACATGGTCTGATTAGGTACATGTTATTGTCTTTGTCACAAAATTATCATATTTATCGAGTTTATAATGATTTTGTTTGACAAACCTTCCGACAAGGACATTGTTGACAGCCGTAGGTGACACGTGGCCAAACTCGCGTTTTTTTAGGTGACAAGACATGAAGGATGTTTGAAATTACGCGTAGAATCTGAACTCAAAAACATTCAAAGAAAACGACTGAATACCTAAATAATGCAGCTCATGAAACATTATCACAATATTTGTAATTGTACCCACCCTTGGTGAAACCGGAAGCTAACGCATTACAGCACGGCACTCATGGAAGTAAAATCACGTCGAAGTTGGAAAAACCATTGATACATTTTCTAAATTGATTCAAATTCCCGTAAAATCCAAAATGAATAGTAGAATTAACTTTTCAATCCCCTTCAATTGGTTACTGTTAGCTGTTTTTAACAGTAATTGTCATTTTTTGCTTTCATTGTATATTTTGTCCCCTAATATTGCCGCCAGTGCGTAGATCTTTATGTTTACAAATTCAAAGTCGTAATGGATCTCGCGGTCGGTGATTTTCGAATAATTTAATGTTCTGACACGGGGAGATATTATAAAATGTCAGTATGTCATAACAATAACTTAATATTTTCAGTCACAAATTACTAGTATCATTTCTGCCGTTGCTGTAACAGTATAATTAGCAGAAAATATTATCATTTGATGAAAACAGAGACAATATACATGTAATTAATTATATGGTCTCTGATGAAAGTCAACAGGCCTCATATTCTGTTAAAATTAAAGCAAATAGAAATCTTACCTTAGTATCTTTCCTGGGTTTTGGAGCAATAACATAATACAAAATTAGTCTACTGAACTTTCAAGGATTGATGCTGTGTGCTGAAGTGTCTGATAGTGATATGCTCGTATGACTACAGTATGTAAATTGCCCCTGCCATCATAAAACAAAATATGTCAAGAACAATCTTCTATGAATTACAAAATGCCAAAACCTGAGCACTCTTTTGTTTAGGGTCTGTATGTATTTGATATTGTCATTGCCTCATATATATGGCAATAAAATATCCAAAATGAAATCTCAATGGATTAGCTCCAAACTGGACAACAAAAAAATCATTTGTTGCAGCTCTTGATTTAGGGAAAGAAAACCTATTTGCCCCTGGTGCCACCTTACATGATTACCTTGATGCCTCGGACAAAAACAGGTTGCACCTCCTGCTCAATATATATATATTATGTATTACTTGTGGTTTTGATATTGCTGATTCACAACATCATCACAACAAAATTATTCTGGGTCTGGTATGATAATTTTATATTACTTCATAACATTTCATGACATGAAAAAAAAGGTCCCTCTTTCAATCACTGTCAGTGTGATCACTGCTCCAAACCAGTTTGGGTCATCAGTCTGTTTCCCAGATGAAGTCTGTTTTTACAGCAAAATATGAACATGCACAGTGTGCAAGTAGGTATAAATATGAGGTTACATTTTGCAGTTGTAGGTTGCACCAGTGCAAATTCTAAATGATAAATCGAGCCATGCACTGGGTTACTTGACCAGTATTTTTTTAGAAAACAAATGGACACACATCAAACAATGTGAAGAACTACTAGATAGAATTGAAACTTTGAAAGCACTGCTTTTGAGGCAACATAATTATTTCAATTTTGCTCCTACTTGGAGAACAAATGATGTGCTGTTTGGCTGTTTTAATGACTAAAATAAATACCGATTTTGAGTGAAATGCATTCACACAGACTATGACTATTTTTGTATCTCGTCATTCCAAATTTTAAGAAATCCATTTACATTACATTCTTACTACTGTAGATCTGATTTCATCCGTTTCTGTGATAGGAAAAATGATGTTGTCATATACAATGTTGGCCTATACTTATGCCATGTACAGAAATTGATAAACTCCAGGATGTAGAGCTGCAAAGGTTATATTGCACACCCACTAAACACAGTGTCAATCTGATTGTATTATGGGCGAGGGCCTCTTTACTGAATAAATACTGTCTGTGATAATAAATAATTCACAAAACAAAGAGTTACTGTTGAAAACAAAAGTAGTTCATCACCCATCTGTATTTGAGGTATATATTTAGCAAGATAATGTATTGAAACAATACACAAAATAATAAGAAACATCTATCCATATATTTTATGGTATAGTTGTTTTAAATAATTATGTAAAATTGTTAGTTTTCCACATCACTGAAAGACAGTAATTGATAATTGGTTATTTACAATTTGCTAATGCATTTGATAAATCCTTATAGTGTCTTTACCCGTGACCATTTGGGAGAGAAAAATAGTTATCATATTATTAATAACAATAAACATATGAAAATACATGAAAATGTCTAAAGTTGTAACCAGCTGTGAAACATTAAGCATTACAAATCTGTCATCAGTATTCACCAAGGATTTTAATTTATTGCATAAATTTATACTGTAAATTTAATTCAAATTTTTCTGAAGCGAGACTATAAATTTGGCATACATGTAATATGACCGCACAATTCATTAAATCATCACTAATTTCACGTGAGACTATAATTGACACTATATTTTAGTATATAATATAATACATATGCATCATGTATCATATTTTATCACAATAAGAAAAGCATCAATGTTATTTTGAAACAAATTATGTCACGCCTATTTCAGCGCACCTGTTGTTGATGCCGATGTTTGTAAACGTTGCTGCATCGGACAAAGTAAAAAAACAAACAAACTAGCATCAACATACATGTACCTCACTATTATGTTTCTTATCTGCATATTCAGTGTAGAATGTAGTGGTTGTCCTAATATCAAGAAATGTTCAAATAAAAGATACTGAGAAACTTGCATGTTGAGTGTTGATCAACTACTGCTTCCGGGTCACGGGAGTATACAAGGTCAAACTGGTTCCGTGATATTGCCAATTATATAGCCAAAAACAACATGGTTTTTTATCCCCCTGCCGCATGTTTAGCGCAAAGCGGGGGATATAGCATTAGGCTCCGTCCGTCCGTCTGTACGTACGAATTGGAATATCTTAAGAACCGTTGACTGGATTCTTTTCATATTTGGTACCTAGGTTCATCACAGTAAAAGAAAGGTCCCAGTCAAGTTTAGTGACCTTGACCTTCATTTCAAGGTCACAAGGGGACTTCAACGTTTTACCCTTGTCGGCGAGATATCTCTAGAACTGATCTCTGGATTTTCTTCATATTCAACACCAAGCTTTATCTAGGGAAGGCGCAGGGTCCAGTCAATTTTGGTGACCTTCACCTAATTTTCAAGGTCATGGCGACACTTTGAAGATTTCAACATGTTGAGCTGCATGTCAAGCTTGTCAGTGAGATACCTAAAGAACCGTTCACTGGATTTTCCTCATATTTGACTCCAAGCTTCATCTAGGGAAGGTGCAAGGCCCAGTTGATTTTGGTGACCATCAAATAATTTCAAGGTCACGGTGACACTTTGGAAATTTCAGCATGTTAAACTGCATGTTAAGATTGTCAGCGAGATATCTCAAGAACAGTTCACTGGATTTTCTTCATAGACTTTCAAGACTTCCCTTGAATGTTTTTCAATAAGCAATTTCTTTATTACTATTTTTGTATATTTCATACACTAAGACATTCATGTCAAGGTCAAAGTGATTCTTGAAAATATTGAACAACTACAGAGCAAGATATCAAGAGAGGTTGACTGGTCATGATTTGTTGACATTTAACTTCAACTATAATTACGACCTTCACTTTCATTACTTTTTAAGTTTGATTTGATCATTTGCGGCGGGGGATTATGTCACCTTAGTGACAATGCTTGTTTCTTGTGAGCTATGATTAATCATTCTAAATAGTGATTTGTGTTAAATTTGGGTTTGCCAGACGAAATATCTTCAAATTTACTGTCTGTGACATCACATCCGGTGACCTTACAAGAAAACAAGTTAGATTTCGCGATCTTCATTTTCGTTTCTCTCTTGTCATATGAAACTGAAAATGATAAATGAGACACTTGTAGAATGAGAAATTCTTGCTCCAGATACCTGTTTGGCCTCAGTACCACAGAACCTTTCACCATTTTTGGTGGTTTTCGTCTGGAGGGTCATTCTTCCGTCAAGCACCTTATGAATCACTTGAGTCTGCATTTTGAGGACCTTTCTATCAAGATATGCTTTCCTCTGGCTCTCACCAAGGCAGCCATAGTTAGCAAGATTCATACACTGGATGTTTCAAAGGTCAGTTTCAAAAAGCAGTCCAGGGGCATGATCTTTGGTGATTTACCAAAAACCAAGCCAGGCCAGCTTGATTTCTGGTTCCACTTACTGTCCTTCTCTGAGATAGTAAGCCCAGGGAATGACCACAACTAGCACTGGGCCCATCTGGGCCCTATGCCAATATCGGTGCTGGTCTCCGACCATGTCATCGCTGAAGTGATGTTTAACACAATACCATTTTGGCCCTGTTCGGCAGTACTTCAAGCTTATCTGTTGGCTGATCTGCTACACCCAGAAGCCCACAACTGACATGCGAAATAAGCCTTGTTGTCAAGGATGGCCCTCCATGCAGACAGCTTCGTTAGGATCATCATGAAGGGTTGCTTCTGCAATTCTGGCACTACTGTCCATGCTGCGTCTGCCGTCATATCCTGAAGGATATGAGGGATTATCGGTCAAAGGTAGATAACTCTGGGGTATTTGGGCATTTACTTCAATCTGTATCTCCGTTCTAGGACTGTCTGTTTGGCTAAGGTAGGGAAGTTGAAGCATTGTAGCATCAGGTAAGCATTAAAACATTGCATTTCCATTGCTCATTTCTGATGATTGATTAATATGCTAACATAGGTTTAATATACTGAATTTTCTATATAACAGGAATGATTCTAATAGCTTTTTGTTCCAAAACAATGCAATGTCGAATTTTAACTCAACATTCATGCACTTCCTTCACCAATTTTGTTTCAGGTGTGGAGTCAGTTCCTGTAATGACGTCTCTTCAGTCCAATGACAGTGTTTACAACCTGACCAGCAGTCTCCACAATGAGGCATCCCGCTTCAACATCAAGAAGCACCATCACTACCTTGAGGCAGGGTTGGAGGAGGACGAATACCGAGAGACACTGGACAATGTGTCCACACTGGGGCAGTGCTACAAGACAGACACATCCATATCCTGACACCTGCTGCAACATCCTGGACAGAACTATGAACTGCAGTCCAGTGTTTAATACAGAAACAGGCTCCATAACCTGATATAATGAGATGCTGCTTGCTGTTATCAGCTGGAACTGGTTTCTTAAAACCAACCATCAATGTCCAAATGGTGATCCATGCATGCGTGTCCAGTGTTTGGAAATTGGATTGATCTTGGCGGGTTTTTTTTGTCTGTATTTGAAACTAGGGACTCCGTAAACCTTGAGCTTTTAACAAAGTGTCCAAGGCATAGTTTTAAATGCTGAGAGTAGTTTTTCTATTATTATTATTATTCCACCGTTTCTGTTACAATCATAACTCAAGAACCGGTGATCAGAATCTCTTCACAAAAAATCTACAAAGTGCATCTGGGTTCAAGGTTCTAGGCTCAAGGACAAAGGGCAGAAAATTCAAACTTAATTAAAATAAGTCCAATATTCTCCCAAACTACTGGTCCAATGATTTCCAAATTTCTAGTACAGGAATCACATTCCTTTCAATTTCAAGTGTAGGACCCACATGGCTAAATGGCACCGTTTGTCAGCCATATTAGATTGAAGTCTTTGACTGTATTTGTCACCATGTTTCTGAGTATGTGTCTCCCATAATGTGCTGAGCTCAAACCTTCAGATCCAGAGCTTCCACAATTTCCATACTTTGTGTCCTACTACTACACGGCACATTGAGCACAAAAAGTGCCGACATGTGCCTTGGATGGATGCCATATTGAGTCCTACTCCTGGGCCAAAGTTCTCTTCAAAGACTTCTTCAGGGAAACTGAACAAGGATAAAACTTGAAGAATGTGGATCTGATGTCACGTTTGGCTGCTGAACAGTTTCTGTTCTGTCAGAGTGTCTTCGTCTGATACAGGAGGTCCTGTTAATTCCAGAAAGTGTCAAGAAAGTTAAGAAAGTGTAATCCCAAATATAACATTTGTTTGATTTTGGTATTTGGATTCAACTTCAGTGACATCAGCTATTCCTTCTTGTGACACAAGGTAACTTACTATTGTATGCTTTCTCATTTGTTGAGCAGAATTTCAGTTTCCAAAGGGATATTTGCTACAATGATATTTACGGAAAAATTGTCCAGCCTTTGCATTTGTTAGTGATCTGTGCCAGCAGTGGGGCAGGAGAGTCACACTTTTTCATGTGTGAAGCCCATTTCTGGTGTCTCCTGCTGTGATTTTGCTGGAATATTGCTAAAAACGGCGTAAAACCATACTCACTCACTCACTCACTTATCATCACTAGTAATTCATAAACATGCCAAGTTGTACAATGGAGACCTGTTTTTAGCAAAGATTTATCATGATTTTGGAAAGAGTTTGTCAGCCTGTTTCTTGTTTAACTGTTACAGATCATCAACTAATATTCCTTACGTGTTTGTCCGAATCTATTTTTTTCCATGTTTGGTGTTGAAACATGCACACATGAATTGTTACTTTTCATGGCAATATATAATTCTGGTCCATGACAAGCAAGCTGGTGACTGGGATATAAATGTCCACCTGAGAACACATTACCATTCAACGCACACAGTGTACACATGCTCAGAATACTCAGTTTACTTGGGGAATTTAACATACAGTCAAGCCCGAGAGCACATTCAGGAAAACACAATATTACACATGGTTATGCCACGTAATCACATAAAACAGGTGCGACAGACACGTGAAGCTCATCAAAATTATTTCAGTTTAGGTTCCTGTATCCAAGGCCATCTGAAACGGTTGGTTGGTTGGTTTGTTGCTTAACGCTGCACTCAGCAATGTTCCAGCTACATGGCGGCAGTCTGTAAATAATCAAATCTGGACGAGACAATCCAGTGACCAACAGCATGAGCACCGATCTACACTATTGGGTTATGATGACATGTGTCAACCAACTCAGCGAGCCTGACCACCCGATCCCGTTAGTCGCCTCTTACAATAAGGATGGGTTACTGAAGGCTAATTCTAACCCAGATCTTCACGGGTCTCCACCTGATAAAGATTATGTTCTATATATATATAAAAGTAATAAATGATCGACAAAATTGCACAGCTTGAGGGGATGTACAATGTGAGTGAGTGAGTTTAGTTTTACGCCGCACTCAGCAATATGCCAGTTATATGTCGGCGGTTTGTAAATAATCGAGTCTTGACCAGACAGTCCAGTGATCAACAGCATGAGCATCGCTATACGCAATTGGGAACCAATGGATGTACAATGCAACAGTGTCAGCATCATATAAATTCTGACATGTGATGGAGACATGTCATGGCTACTGGGTAACTATCCTATGATGGAGAGATGTGGCTACTGGGTAACTATCCTGTGGTTGAGACATGTCATGGCTACTGGGTAACTATCCTGTGATGGAGACATGTCGTGGCTACTGGGTAACTATCCTGTGTGATGGAGACATGTCATGGCTACTGGGTAACTATTCTGTGGTTGAGACATGTCGTGGCTACTGGGTAACTATCCTGTGATGAAGACATGTCATAGCTACTGAGTACTTATCCTGTGATGGAGACATGTCATGGCTACTGGGTAACTATCATATTGCTGAGATATGTCGTGGCTGCTGGGTAACTATCCTGTGGTGGAGGCATGTCATGGCTACTGGGTAACTATCATATTGCTGAGATATGTCGTGGCTGCTGGGTAACTATCCTGTGATGGAGACACGTCATGGCTACTGGGTAACTATCCTGGGGTGAAGACATCATAGCTACTGGGTAACTATCCTGTGATGGAGACAGGTCATGGCTACTGGGTAACGTAGTACTATTCTTTGGGTATTAAGTTTCTTTCAGACAAAGGATGTGTCTAACTGGTTGCAATGACAACGTCCCTTCTGTAAATGAAAGGTTTGAATAGTATCCCTAAAGTTTAATCACTTTCAGCATATATCCACAGCAGGTACAGTACAACCAGAAATTATTGAGAATTTAAAGATTGTAAAATATTTTTTTTTCACTCATTACTCACGTATTAAATGTGAATATTAGCAGAACATAACTCCAGATTCAAAGACAGGTGAACAGTCCCCAAACATTTTCTATGGGATTTAGGTCAGGGCTGTAGCTAGGCCAATCTAATAATATCATATTTTGGGTCCGAAACCAGGCCTGTGAATGCTTTGAACGATGTTCTGGGTCGTTATCCCGCTGGAAAATCCAAACATTTCCATAGGACACGTGAGCAGATGGAAGTAAATGTCCCTCGAGAATATCTGTGTACCGCTCACTGTTCATATTCCCTTCAAATACACAGGGGCGTTGCCCCTAACACAGATATGCAACCCCACACGTTAAATTTCGGACTGTACTTTGGGCGCTGATACAAAGGTTTTGCAGTTTGTTTAGTCCAGAATTTCAGTGTATTAGGAAACAGCCACACAGAACTTTCATCTGAGAAAATCACATTGTCCCAGTTAAAATTTCTATGCTGTAAGCACCAGTTCAACCTTCGCTCCTTTTGTTCAGGTTTCATGATCGGTGATGGAATTCCTCGACTTTTCTGCAAACCCATTGCATGCAGCGCAGTTCTAATTGTCTCCTTACAGACAGCCACAGTTCCTCTATCAGTCACATCCAGCCTTAAGTTTTCTAAACTCCTTCGTTTGTTTTTAGAAACAAGAATACCAAACCGCCTCCAGTCACCAACGGTTAATTTTCTGGGCCTACCTGCGCCTCCCTGGTGCTCAGTGCCATATCCCGGATATCCATTTGCAATATTTTTCAAAACACGATAAACAGTGGACAAAGGGATGCCTGTTCTACTTCAAATCACTTTAACTGATCTGATGTCCTTGTTATAATACTCATAAAATCAACTTCCTCTTCTCTAAATCATCCATACTGAGGATCACTGAAAATGTCGTCTGCTAGCAAGTAAACAAAGGGGGATAACTCTTCACAAACTAATGAAAAAGGATTAACGGAGTTGTCTCTCATGAATGAAACCAAGCACTTGATAGCTGGTCAAGGTTGGTTATACTAGAAATCCAATTAAACATATTCCTAAAATTCTCAATAATTTCTGGTCTCATATATATCATTCAAAGACATCTTGCTTCTCTCGTAAGCCAACGAGCCAAGTTCCATACCAAGTGGAGTTTCTACTATGTATAGATGTGAATCATTGTCTATGAAAGTGTTAAATTAATAAAATATCAGAATCCATAATACCATACCTCTAATATGAACCTGACTAACAGAATTAATACGCATACAATAGATTTTTCAACTCGGATAATAAACTCTGCTCGGGTCTTCTAAAGTTGTGCATAAAAATCTTTTCTCATCTAATCTATGCCAAGCGCTATCAAGGGTGTCTTTTTCTATCTATAACTGGGGTATTTTTTAGGACAGACCAATTTTATTTCTTGTTTTATGGATCCGCCGATCTGCTGGCATAAAGAATAACCTTCCCCAAGGTTTTAAATACTATATATGGGGGCATGTTCACACCGCTATCACCACACTGTATACTACTATATCATATCCCAAGGCCAGCAGCTACATTAACATAATATTTCCACCCTGGATATCAAATCTTATCCTGTTTTGGAAGCATGATGACTGGTGAATATTTTTGTCAAAGACTGTATGCTATTACTCGTCACTGACTATATTGTTTTTCCTGCTGCTATGGTATGCTACCATTGTAATTGTTTGTCAAGAGCCAAGCACTTATGAAAGTAGTGAAAAGCATGACACTGAAGAAATTGAAAGTAATTTTCTTTCTCTTGTTTTGTTACTCATTTGGTGACTGAACAATTACAATTTTGTTGCCACTGTATGGGCCATTCTCAGGACTTGGCTAAATGTTCATTGGAGAGAACTCAACTTAGTAACAAATTGGCTGTCGTTGGACCAGTTCTGGTTTGGGGGCTATGTTTAAAGGCAAACACACACTAAGCGGCACAGGAGTCATCCCAGAATAACAGTATGAGAGTAAATTCTGTATAACATTTCATCACACGAACGGCAAACCTGAGCATATGATATGGATACACACTCTATACAACACACAAACGAGTATACGCACAGAATAAGAATACATACATTGTTATTCAATGCAATAAGATTTACTGTTGACTTAATTCAAATATATGTCAATCTATTTCACCATGTATTCGTCCCGTTTAAAGTAACCATGCATTCACAAATAGTGTCTGTGATGTCTTTCAATCACATTGTATAGACCCAGTCAACCATATTCAAACGTCTCGGCCAGGCTGTGTGAACTGC